TATTGATATGTACTTATTTATTGCCATTTTTGTTTAGTGTGGTTCTATTTTTCTTCCCATTTCTACTGCTAATTACAGCAGTCCTTTTAACATTTCTTGCAGTGCTGGTTTGGTGCTAATGTATTCCCTTAGCCTTTTTTTTTTTTTGTCTGGGAAGCTCTTTATTTGATCTTCTACTTTGAATGATAGCCTTGCTGGGTAGAGTAGTCTTGGATTCAGATTTTTGTTTTTCATGGCTTTGATTACTTCATGACATTCTCTTCTGGCCTGTAGTGTTTTTTGTGAGAAGTCAGCTGAGAGCCTTATGGGGTTCCCTTTGTAGGTAACCTGTTGCTTATCTCTTGCTGCTTTTAGGATTCTCTCTTTGTCTTTAATTTGTGGCATTTTAATTACTATGTGTCTTGGTGTGGGCCTGTTTGGGTTCTTCTTACTTGGGACTCTCTGTGCTTCTTGAACTTGAATGCCTTCTTCCTTCACCAAATTAGGGAAGTTTTCTCTCACTATTTTTTTTAATATATTCTCTATCCCTTGCTCATTTTCTTCTTCTTTGGGGACTCCTATGATGCGAATATTATTACGTTTCCAGTTGTCCCATAGTTCTCTTAAGCTGTCTTCCTGTTTTTTAATAGTTTTTTCCTTTTGTTTTTCTGATTGGTTGATTTTTTCTTCCCTGTCTTCTAATTCACTGATCCGGTCCTCAGCTTCCTCTACTCTGCTTTTTAAACCTTCCAATGTGTTTTTCATTTCTGATATGTCATTTTTTATCTCTTCTTGTTGGTTTTTAATTTCCAATTGGCTTATTTTCAGTGTCTCTATGTCCTTACTCATGCTGTTCAGCTTCCTCAAGATCATGGCTCTGAATTCTAGCTCTGTTAACATGCCTAATTGCTCCACATTGATCTCATCTCTCTTGCTCTTTCATTTGGCTTCTGTTTCTGTGTTTCACCATTTTGGCTATCACTGTGGGCTTTGGAGCCTGTCAAGTTCTCCCTGTGGGTGTTGGTGTTCTGCTGTTTGTGGCTCCCTCTCCTGTGTTTAGATGAACGAGGGAGGACCCACGTTGAACACCACTGTCAAGTCTTACTTTCCTGGTTAAAGTTGCCAGCCCAGGAAAGGTACTGTTACCCTCTAGCTTTTTGCCTGGAGGCTAGCAGTCCTGGTTACTTGATGAGTTTTGGGTTGTCAGTTGATTGAAAAGCTCCCTCAAGTCCTTAGCACAAGGGGATTTCAGGAGGGTGGGGCAGATGCTGGTTGTTAGTGAGCCTCAATTAACACTTCAATGGCCCACAGGGTGGGGTTGGATCTCCGAGGGAGGGGCTGCTGCCTCTCCTCAGAGCCCTGGGAAGGAGCAATATGCCCACCATCCTGAGTGGCTGCACTCAGCCAAAGCTCTGAGCGCCCTCCAAATCCTGAGTGTCCCGACACAGTTCCAGTCCATTCTGCCCTCCCTCTGCCGGAGCCCAAGGTGAGTGGCTGTGGCTGTTTCAGCCTCTGTCCCGGCTGCGCTGTGGAGCCACCTGGGAGTGTGACCCGAGGGCGCTGCTCCCAGCTAAGGCCGCTGCCGAGCTGCCAACCGTGGGCTCCCAGCTCCCAGCTCCTGTCTCGTGCTACCAGGATTGAGTCAGTGTCCCTGGTTGTATGGTCCTCGCAATCTGCTTTTCTGTTGCTTTTTCCTGTCGATTTGTCTGTGTTATAGTTGTAATTCCAGTTTGGTTCTGGGAGACGGTCTGTGTAGCTCCGTTCACTCCGCCGCCATTTTTCCTCTCTGTCCCAAGGTACTATTTTGACCAGATATTTTCTTCTTTAAGATTTATAATGTTCTTTAGATACAATCTAAGTATGTCACAATTTAAAGAGACTTTATAATCTGTATAAATCCTAACTAAACTTATTCCATATCTATAAATATAAGTGTTTAACTTTAGGTTAGTTCAGTAAATGTATTAAAATATACTATCACTTTCAATGCTACTCTTCCAACTTGGGGGGGTAAAAATAACTTTTATTCATTATTTAAGGCTTTTCCATGAAACCCTGTTTCATTCTACTATGTACCCCCCACAACACTCATGTATGTATAGAGCAATTTTTTTCTGAATTATTACAATATATTTCTTTAAAAGTGATTATTGTCCTGAATGGCCTCAAATTGTGTCATGAATATGAATTTATCATAAATTTATTGTCAGTGTTTATATTATTTCAATTCAGTGTGACCTCCACTGTCTCAGTCACTTCAGGAAAATTTACTACTGTGAGAAAGATAAGAGAACGCAGATACCCTTGAGTCAGATTCTCTGAAACCACTAAAAGATGTGAAGTTTCACTCAAATCTTAAAAACAACTAGGAAGGTCTTTCTAAAAAATTTTAAGTCTCGTGTTTTGATTAATGCATTTATTTATTTACTTTTTTTTAACTTTTAAAGCAAGAATAAAACAGAAATTAAAGAAGAAGAAAAAGAAGAATTCAAATAGTATATAATACCCTGGTGGTTTCTTGAATGCCATTTAATATAACTGGTTTCTGTATTGACTTATAAAATGAATTGATGTACCTTTTGAAAAGCCTTCTCCTAATCAGGTTTATAATTTATTTTATTATATATAGCCATGGTAGTCATTTGTAAAACACAGTGCAAATTGAATGACTGAGAATATAATACCTTCAGATTTGATTTGGCATACCTAATTTCTAATTATGTATTCCTTTCCTGGAATTTAACCCACCATTAAAAAAAAAAAGAACTACATTTTATTTTGCCTCTCTTGGCACAACTAAAATTTTCTGTAGACTTTCTATTCTTCTTCAACATATCGAGTGACGATACAGTGCACCAGAAGTCTTGATAAGCTACCAGACTCAACTGATATCAAATAAGCTTTGTCAAAGATGTGTGATCTAGTCTCCTGGATTCTGGTCCAGTGTGTTATCTGTCATGCAAGAGAGACTGGCATTTGTTTTCCCTTTGGTGTGCTAGAATCATCTGTTGGCTGAGTGACTTCAATTACTTTTTGCAAACAGAAACTTTTATTTATCCTGGTAATGTGTATTTGTTCATTTCCAAGTTTCCAGTAATTTGTTACATGAAACTATCTGGCAAATTAAAAATAAACTCTTTAGGTATGCTGATTATTACTTCAAGAGTATCATGTTTTATAATAACGTTTTCCTATTTAAAAAATTCCTTTCTAGTTTAAAAAGTTATGGTGCCAGACTGCTCCAGACATATATTTCTAAGAGTTATTTTGTAAAATAAGTTGATAATATGGACGTTTTTTCTCTTCATCTCAGTGCCCATACATCTTCACACCACTTCTTGTTGCAGGGTACACTCATGGACCACAGGCAACCCCGGCGAAGGCCGGTGGGGGGAGCGCAAAGAGGAGGAAAATGGGAGATACATGTAATAGTGTCAATAATAAAAAAATAATCATGAGTGTGATTTGAAGGTTTTCACATATTTGAGGTTATAAATAATATTCCTGAGACATGAATGAGGTGGTTTCAATAGCTTCTTCATTCTTCTGTCACTTCATGCCATTTATAAATAAGAAAAGGTTCATGAGAGGCCACTAGAATGATGGAAATTGTTCTTCCTAGAGAAAATCTAACTCAAGTGTGCTTCCCAGGTAGTTTGGAGAATGTCATCAACTTGTGTAATTTATTCACAGTCCAGTATTTTGTTTGAACATCGTATTAGAGAAAATGAAATGATTTAATATGTTGTCCATGACTTTCCTCATCTTCTAATATATTCCCAGTGTATACATTACATTATCCTGGCTGTTGTTACCATGTGTATCTTCCTAGGTCATTCCATTTTCTCTCATTTCTATTTTTTTTTTTAATCCTCACCTGAGGACATTTTTCCATTTTTTGTTCAGATAGAGTGGGAGGGAGAGAGAGGAAGAGATAGAGAGAGAGAAACATCGACGTGAAAGGGACACATTGAGTGGCTGCCACCCGCATGACCAACCAGGGCCGGGGACAAACTGCAACCGAGGTACATGCCCTTAGCGGGAACCAAACCCGGGTCTCTCTAGACCACAGGCCGACGCTCTAACCGCTGAGCCAAACAGGCCAGGGCTCTCTCATTTCTTGATGATTTTTGTTCTCTGCCACTCCTTTTACTTCTATTCCTGTCTCAGTTCCTAGCAATTTCCGTAAAGACCAGTCCCTTGACCTTCTCTCCTCTCATGATATTGTCCTACATATACTCAGCCATTGACTCCCAATCATGTTTTTTTGTAGTATCATAGCCTATAACTGCAGATATTATATAGCCTATTTCATATATTCCCATATGATTACCATCTGTACTTGTATTTCTGGCTTTTTTCCCTCTGATACCTGGTAATATACAATATTACTTTAATTCTTTTTAACTTTGTGCTATGGAACTTTTCAGAAGTTTTCTTTTTTTTTTTTGCTTATTCTGTTTTCTAAACTAACTTTAGACACGTGTATTTAATTTTCTGGTCTTAAAGTCTTTTTATACCCTTTCTCATCTTTGGCTCTTACTTAATTATATTTCTGTTTCTAGAAAAAATTTTTTTGTTTGTCCCAGGTCTCCAGTACTTTTATTCTTAACAACTTATCCAGAAACATTGCTTTTCCTTGGAAATATTTCCTATGTAAATATGTGATACTGATTTCCACCTTCCATCTAACTGTCCCCTTTATCCAGCCTATGGCAGCCTTGTAATTCATGATTCCAGCTGGCCCTTCACTCAACACTGTACTGAAATGCATATTCCCTTTGACTTAAAGCTAGTATGAACTTACTTAGTGTTACATATGTGTATATAATCATTTGTTTATTTTCAACATACTTTTTTATTGTCTATCTTCTATTTTTGAAAACACAAATATTTGTGTATACATTTGTATGTATCATGTATTTAATGTTCTGTTTCATCCAATTTTTATTGAAAGCACCACTTTCTAGATCTTTTCCTTGTGGGTATCTAAAATGGTTTGACATTCTTATCTTGAACAGGTCATTGCTTTAGTGATGGACATGTTTACAGATGTGGACATTTTCAAAGAAATAGTGGAGGCATCAACTCGAGGGATATCTGTGTACATTCTGCTCGATGAATCCAACTTTAATCATTTCCTAAATATGTCTGAGAAACAGGGTTGTCAAGTTCAACGTCTCAGGGTAAGCATTCCATGTTTTTTCCCTCAGGTACTCTTTTTATAGAGTGTGTACTATTCTCTCAGTCAAATTTAAGACATGTTAAGCTATATTACTCTAAAAGTAAAATAGAAAAAAATTACATATATCTATAAGTTAAGGTAGAATAATGATAAATCACAAAAGGGGACCCTTGTACTTTTGCAAATGTTACTGAAAACACACATCTTTGTGACAAATATATATGGTGTTTTCGTTCTTTTTTTTTAAATCCTCATGCAAGGACATTTTTCCATTTTTTTGTTCAGGTAGAGTGGGAGGGAGAGAGAGGAACAGAGAGAGAGAGAGAAACATTGACCAAAAGTGACACATTGAGTGGCTGCCACCCGCACGACCAACCAGTGCCAGGGACAAACCAACCGAGGCACGCGCCCCTAGCCGGAACCGAACCTGGGTCTCTCAGGACTGCAGGCCAGTGCTCTAACCGCTGAACCAAACTGGCCAGGGCTATGGTGCTTTTCTTGATAATGAGGCGCTCGAGCTTCTGAGTTTCCTTTGCTGCCAGTCGTGATGCTTCTGTTTGTATGTACAACCTTGACACCACTACTTGGGTGATTCTCTCATGCAGCAGGCGTTGCTTAGTGCAATCATTCGGCAGTGATTTCAGTTCCATTTGACTTTGTAAAAGGCGGGTGCATTTTATGTTAGTTATTTTCAAATCATGAATCTATATCCTGAAAAGATCTTGTAATAGGACCCTAAGTGGTTTATGAAACCACCCTGTGTAAATGTAAAGTAGTACCTCCATATTGTAAGTTACTCTTTTCCTAGAGTATTTCTTTTTTGGGTGATGTTTCAAAACTTGCTTTTCTCTGTTTTATTTGTTTGGTTGTTTTGGTTATGTGTTTAAAAGTTATTTTAAGTACACTTTTTTTTTTTTGGTACTGAGGTTTTATATTAACATGTTTAACTTTGCAAAGTATTCCCATTCTAACCTTCATTTTTTACATTATATTTACATATAATTCTAGAATATTCGAGTGCGGACAGTAAAAGGCCAAGATTATCTTTCAAAAACAGGAGCCAAATTTCATGGAAAATTGGAACAGAAATTTTTGTTAATTGACTGCCAGAAAGTTATGTATGGTTCTTACAGGTAAGATCATTATGTTTACCTCCCACATTAATAATCATTTATAGAACGTATTAGTTTCACATTTTAGTGTAATATGTTTAGTTATTTTTATTTTATTTTTTAGTTATAATTGACATGTAACATTATATTAGTTTCAGATATAATGGTTTAATATTTGTATATAATGTTAAATGATCATGATAATTCTAGTTAACATCCATCACCATACATAGTCACAAAAATCTTTTTTTTCCCTTGTGATGAGGACTTTCAGCATTACTTTCTTAGCAACTTTTAAATATGTAATATAGTATTATTAACTATAGTCACCATGCTGTACATTACACCTCTGTGACATTTATTTTGCAACTGGAAGTTTGCACCTTTTGAAACATGCACCTATTGTGCACATGCCATACCTCCTGCCTCTGGCAACTAGCAACCTGTGCTCTGTATCTGTAAACTTTTTTTTTCTTCTTCTTCTGGTTCTACACATAAGTGAGATCATACTGTATTTGTCTGTCTCTGCCTGACGTATTTCACTTAGAATAATGACCTCAAGTCCATCCATGTTGTTGCAAATGGCAAGATTTCATTCTTTTTATGCCTGAATAGTATTCTGTTGTATACATGTACCATATCTTTTTTATCCATCCGTCTACTGAGGGACCCTTAAGTTGCTTCCATATCTTGGCTATTGTAAATAATAGCCAATGCAGTGAACATGGGAATGCAGATATCTTATTGAGTTAGTGTTTTTGTTTTCTTCAGATAAATACCCAGAAGTGGAATTGCTGGGTTTTGTGGTAATTTTTTTTTAATTTTGGGGAAGGCTCTATGCCGTTTTCCACAGTGGCTGCACCTATTCACATTCCCACCAACAGTGCACAAGGGTTCCCTTTCCTCTCACCAACACGTATTCTTGTCTTTTTTAATAATAGCCTAGTTTGTGTTTGCCTGCAGTATTATATCATTTACAGAAATTATTAGTTTCAAATTTTAGTGTAATCTGTTTAGTTATTTCTTAAAAATAAAAAACAGAATTCTTCCATAGACCCTTGGAGACTTGGGTTTCAGTTCTGGCTATACCTCTAAAGAATATTAAGACATTGGGCAAATCACATAACTTCCTTTGGCTTCAAGTTCTTTACCCCAAAAATAAGGAGGTTTGACTAATATTTCAGGTTCCCTACAGCTCTACATTATAAAAAGCGTTTTTGTTCCTTTTGAAAATACTACATAGTATAAACTTATTAATAGTTGTTCTTAAAAATAGAAGCTGTTTTTCATCTCTGAAGAATCTATCAAACAGATTTTTTCGATTTCAGCACTGTTAAGAAGCTGATAATTATCACGTAGTCACTATAGTACTACCAAAAATACATTGAGGAGCCTGGCTGTTAAAAATGTTGTGGTAGACACTAGACAGATGACTCAGATTCTACTCTCTGGCATTTTCCAAGGCTTCCATTGGTGATATATTTTACTCTGTTCTAGCTTCGCTCTTTTACATATTTCAACACCATCCTTAGCTTATCTGTGGGGCTATTGTTTTCATCTCTAGTTTATAAATTATGAAATTGAAGTTCCAAAAGTTTAAATGACCTGTCTCAAACCCCACAGCTAGGGGCCACAGGCAGTCCAGGACTGGCAGCTGGCTCCAGGGTGTAAGGGCTGCCCTAATATTCTCTTATACATGTCAGGCGTCCTGCATGGGATGCACAGGGAGGCGATACCAACAGGCAGATTAAGCAGCAGTAAGCATGGATGCACCGCTAGGTCACCAGGGCAGAGTTCAATCGTTACTAAAGACTGTGGGAAAAAGCCAGGAGAGCTGTGGATGTAAGCGGGGCAGTGTGAGAGGAAATCTTAGGGACCTAAGTCCACAAGAGGAAGGCTGTGGGCAAGGTACTTCACTTGATTGCACTTTAGCTTGCTCCTCTGTAAACTGAGGGTAACTAATAGAACTACCTCATGGCGTTGTTGTGAGAATTAGAATTTATGCATCCAAAGCCTCTAATGGTAACTATTATTTTAGGCCTTTTTAAAAAGTACCTGCTAACTTTCCCTTTCTGAGGCATCTTTTTTTGAAAATGTAGTTTGGAGTTCTAAAGGGAAACATGTTAGCCTGGCCAGTATGGCTCAGTGGTTGAGCTTCGACCCATGCACCAAGAGGTCACCAGTTTGAATCCCAGTCAGGGCACATGCCCAGGTTGTGAGCCCAATCTCTAGTAGGGGGCATGCAGGAAGTGGCTAATCGATGTCCTCTCTCATCGATATTTCTGTCTCTCCCTCTCTCTTCCTTTCTCTCTAAAATCAATAAAGAATAAAAAATAAATAAAGGGAAACATGTTAAGAGCATAAATTACAATTAGTGCTTAAATTAATGTTCTTTTAAAACTCATTATATGTGTATATATTTGTTCAGATCCACCTGATTTTAATTGAAATTTTTAAATTAAAATTGTGAGTTCACTTGACTTATAGAATGGTGTTTATTGGTTAAATCTCATCATAATGAATACTTTCTATTTTTATTTAACTTGGCTTTTAAGATTATTTTTCAACAGTAAATTCACTTAAACTTTGTTTTCCTACCACTCAGTATTAATAGGTGCTGTATGTTGAGATGACTATAGCTGAGCTACTTTCAGGGTGATGTTGGGAAAATAAACAACAGCAACCAAACTCTTTGTCTTTTTATCTATATCATAAGCTAGAGGCAAAATTTAAGTTATTCTTTATTGGAGTGGATATGGAATGTCTAGGACCACAGATTATAAAAATTCATCAAAACTCTTATCTAACAAGTCTCTCTTTATGATTTCACGTTAATTTTATTTATTTTTTATTATTGTTTTTTTTTTTTTAATCATCACCTGAGGATCTTTTCCTATTTTTCTTCAGATAGAGGGGAAGGGAGGGAGAGAGAGAGGAACATCGATGTGAGAGAGACACATCAACTGGCCGCCTTCCGCACGTCCCGACCAAGGCCGGAGACAAACCACAACCAAGTTATGTACCTTTGACTGGAATTGAACCCATGACCCATTGGTCCATGGGCCAATGCTCTAACCACAGAGCCAAATTGGCAAGGCGATTTCATGTTAATTTTAATTTTTTTTTTTTAATTAATGGTTGTCAGTCCTTGTCACTTTTGTTTTTCCTGACTAATGATCATGAAACTTTCCTATTGTTAACAATATTCCAACAGGATCTGGTGGAACAGTTGTGAACCAGTCTTCATAGAAATTAGCCAAAATTTTTATTTCCTCTGGTTAAAACCATTCTTTGTCGCTCTCATTTTATAACTGTCACTGTTTTCCTCATAGGCAAATACAAAATGCCTTTCCCTTTATTTCAAAATTATTTGCCATAAAATGTCTTCATGTTTCAAACACCCAGCATTTCTAGACAGGCCTCGTGTCCCTAGTCACACATCCTGTGGCAGCTCTCTCATCACGGTGGTGGTTTTATCAGGAAAACGTGACAAGTGTTTTGTCATATTGTGATACTAACATTGATGAGATAAAACACTGACATACTTTTTATCGATGTGTAAAATCAGTTTTTGAATTGGATACCCTCATTTGAAATTGTCATATGAAAATCTGGAAGACATTTAGTGTTGTTCACACAATTGACTGACAGAGAATTTCACAAGCCTTTTTCTTTTTTTATGATCTTATAAAAGTTACTTTCAATAGATAAGTTTCAGTGGAGGTATTGGCTCTAAGATGTCATCTTTGATCAGACTTGCAGGTCATCCCATTTAGAAATCCATGCCACAACTCATCCCCCTTTTCACTCTGTGTACTTCACTTTATTACCTCTGATCAGGAACTCCGAGTTCTTGAGCCACTTTTTAATATGTGACTTCATAACTACACTCCCAACTTTGTGACTAATATATGACAGTGTGTTTAGAAGGGGTGGGGTAGTAAGTTATGATACAGAGGACAAACTGACATGTGTCAGAGGAAAGGGGAGTTGGGGAGCTGGGTGCAAAAAAGAGAAGGTATTAGGCAGTACACATTGGTAGCTGCAGAATAGCCACAGGGATGCAGTTTTCAGCATGAGGAACTTAGTCAATAATGTTGAGGTAACTGGGTATGGGGCCAGGTAGGTGCTTGGAGCGGTGGGCCTAGGGGGAGCACTCTGTGAGGTGCATGCTCGTCCAGCCACTTCGCTGTACACTCTGAAACTGGTGTGGAATGGTACTGAATATAAATGGTGATTGAAAAATAAAGTACATTTATTTTTTTATTCAAGTAAATAGATGCACATATTTTAAAAAATCAATACTGAGAGATATGCAATACAAAACGTATTTTGTACTCCATCTCAATATACTCCTAATTCCTGACCACTAGGTACAATTCTTTAATTAGTTTAGCTAGTTCTGATTTGTATTTTATTCTCTTAAATAGTGGGATTATACTGCTATTTTTAGATTTATCACTTTTAGATATGATCTTTTGAGTTTATATTATGGCAATTGAGGAGTTATAACCTGTACCCACCCATATCCACTTGCCCTCCTGATCCCTGTTCACCCAATACAGTTTTATCACAATATTTTGGTTAAATGAGAAGTCTGTGTATACATTACTCCAGTTGTGTCAAATTTATCATTGATGAGAGATGGAGTGACTTATGATATGTTTTCTCTTTCATAACAGAGTTAATAATGACCATTTTATCTTGGTTTTATTTGTTGTTTTTGTCTTCTATTTAATTATTGTTATTTTTTTTTCCAGTTGACTACAGAATTCTTAGCACATAAACAACCTTTCCAAATGTCTGATTACTACCAATAATTTCTGATGTCCAGTCTGGACTAGCAGGTCTTTAACCTGCAGCACAGCTGGGGTCCTGGTATTTTCTATATTCCTGGATAGTTTGAGCTACAGTTTTTAAAATCCTGCTTTTAATCCTATTTTAACTCCCTTTTGTTACCAGTCATGGTTTTTCCCAAGTTTGCTCAAGGACATCTTCTATCAGCATGGAATTTTTAAGTCCAGAAATTCATAATTTTAGATGATTTGTGTTTTAACTGAGGATGACACTCTAAGTTGAATCATTTTTTTCTCCGAATTTGGAAGGCATCACCTTACATTCAAAATCGCGATTTAAGACGTCTCAAACTATTATCATTCTGGTTCTCTTCAAGTTATTTATTTATTTTTCTTTCTGGAAGTATCTAGAATTTCTCTTCTTTTATTTATTGATTGATCTTTAGAGACAGAGAGAAAGAAGACAGAGAGATTTGTTATTCTACTTATTTATGCATTGACTGGTTGGTTCTTGTATGTGTCCTGAGATCGAACATTGGCATTTCAGGAAGACTCTCTGATCAACTCAGCTACCCAGCCAAGGGCCTAGGATTTCCCTTTATTTCATGCTGTTCACAGATTCATTATGATATTTCTAGGTCTTGGCCTTCTCTTCATTTGTTGTTCTGCGCAATGCAAATACTTACACCTTTCGATTCTGAGTTTTCTGAATTTATTCTTTGACAATTTCTTCTCCTTAATTATCTCTTTTGTCTTTCTCTGGAATTCTTAGTAACTAGATTTCTGCTCCCATTGTATTTTTTCCTCCAATTTTTCATCCAGGGATGGGGGGCATTATTAATGACTGGGGGATTTTCTCGATTACATCTTTCCATCCTCCTATTTATTATCTTTTGCTGTCAAGTATTTTGAATATCAGCTACTTGAAACATTTTTCTAACATTCTATTTGTGTTTTATAAATTTACTCTTTTCTCTCTTTATTTCTTTGAAGATATTGTATGCATGTGTGTTTATTCTTATTTGTGCATTATCTCTGTTTCCTCCAGGTGACTTTTTTCTGTTTGGTTCGGTTTCTGTATTGAATCTAAGCTTTTAAGCTTTATAAGCTATCTTCTAAATTTATTCTAATGTCTGACAATCTTTTGTATGTCTTTATATTATGAGGGACCGTAAAACTTATTGGAAATTGTGCGGGAAATCTTATCAACAGTTGAGTTCAGAGCAGTGATTGGCTGGGGTCCTGGGAATTTTACAGGAAGATGCCCAAACATTGATATAAGTAGGTCTTTTATCTCTGAGAGCGGTCAGTGTTTCCAGAGAATAATGTCTAAATTAAATATTCCCAATTAAATGTCTTTCCATTGCCTGAAATTATATTACAATATTATTTCCTGATTTACCAAAGCATAGAACCTTTTCCAGCTGTCACGCATTCACCAGTACCATTATCTTCTCAGATTCCTGAGCGCCACACCTGGGGGCAATTCTTACTTCATAACCAATGCACATTCTTATGACATGCAAGTATTCCTAGTCTTTCTTCTCATTTCTGGCTCAACGTTTTACTCATTCCAGTTTCCGCTATGGTTTAGTCTCTTATCACCTATTCCAACTACTTTTCTCATCCTAGTAAGCACAGTCACTCATCTTTTAAGTCTTTAATACAATTAGCTATGGAAAGAAAATTCATTCTTCAAACATCTTTTTATTATACTTTATTCAAACCTGGAAACAGATTCTACACAAACTTTGCTTTCAAGGTTCATCTCTTACATAGCTTCTTTACTTTAGTTAAATAGAGTTTGTTTCTGTGTTCAATCAATGCATGGCCATTTTTACTTCTTTTTCTACATTTCTTCTTCCACACAAACTGTCCTCCCACAGCTTTCGAGTCTGAACTTCAGGCCTGTCTAGTTTCTATCAAAATATTGCTGAACTCTTTCTCCAGGGATTTTTTCTCATATTTGATAGCTAACCATTCATTCCTTTACTTGCTGTTTCTAACATATTTTGTACTCCTATCTTAAGCTGGATTGAAAATTTCTTTAACGATTCACTTTTGCACCATTTCTTTTAAGTCAGCCTGGTGGCCAACACATCTGTAAATAAAGAGCACCTCGTAAATGTCCTACTCATACCATCATTCAGTAACTATTCCAGGAAACATTAAGCATATCAGAATAACTACTAAGTTTCACACTGTTATTTATAATATACTATGTATTTAAAATTATTAGTCTACACATTGTTTTAATAATTTCATCTGCCTTTATTATTGTCTCCCCTGCCTGTATAAACAGTAAACGCCTTCGTTGTGGAGAATGTCTCTATTGTTCTTTCTTTTGTATTAAAACCTATTGCATCATGTACATTATTGGATACATAACATATTAACACTTTCTTTTTCAGCTCAGTGACTCTGTAGGTTAATTATTTAGATTTTCAAGCATCAGATTTAAAATTTTACATGAAGCTTCAAGATAACTGTTAGCTCTAAACTTTGGAAAAGTGATTGGAAATTCTACAAAATACTATAAAGTAGTTACAGATTTACTTTCCTAGAAATTGTACCTGTATCAAAAGATCTTAATTGGCTTTCTGACTCGCATGGTTTGTGAGGATTAAATTTACCAATCCCGTGTAGACTGAGTGTACTGTTTAATGACCGAGGCTGCTGCCTACAAATCCTCTCTCTGTTTACAACTCTCACATCTTCAATTACACTTCCTAAGTCATAGAGAGAAAATGCATGTATTAGCACAGACCTACAGTGCATTATAACATGTTAGAACTCTAAGGAATCGCAGCGATTAGGCTGTTTGTGTCCTCATTTTGGATGCAAGTAAACTGGGGCCCAACCTCATGTGACTGGAGAGCTCAGCAGAAGCCAGTTCTGTCACCTTTTCCTGTGATAGTAGCTTACCTGGACCGTGCCAGGATGCTATACATGAAATATAGTATCATTTTTACCCCATAAACTCTTAGTAGGCAGAGATGCAAAGTGCATAGCATGGTTTTCTTTGGACTTCTCGTAAGTAGTGTCAAGAATTATGGGCAGATTCAGCCGAGGACTTAAGTTGATTTGTTGTTTATAGTATGAATATGGAGTGGGGGACATATGTATTACAAGCATGTCATGACTGGAGATGTTCTCATTTATGGTAGTCAAGGAAAACAAACAAAATATACTCTTTTGTCAACATTAAATGACACATTTTACTTAGTAGAGGTATGTATATTGTCATTAATCTTTTAACTCAGCAAATGTATAATTCTCCAACTTTAATTTTTTTTCAGCTACATGTGGTCATTTGAAAAAGCTCACTTCAGCATGGTTCAGATCATCACAGGACAACTTGTTGAGTCCTTTGATGAAGAGTTTAGAACGCTCTATGCCAGATCGTGTGTCCCCAGGCCATTCGCGCAGGAAGAATCCACCAGGCAAATTCATCAGCATGGCAAAGCCCTGTGGGAGAGCGGCAGTCACCAGCGTTCACTCTCTTCCTTAGCTTCTGTTTCCAGCCAAAGAAACTTCCTTGGTAGACAAGACAAAATTCATAAACTAGATTCTAATTACTTCAAAAACAGAGGGATATATACTCGGAATGAACATGACAATTTTCACATAAGAAATCAAGGTTACAAACCTCATTTTGTTCCAAACTTTAATGGTCCAAACACAATCCGTCAGTATCAACCCAGTCAGAATGAAAATTGGAAGAGACATAGTTATGCTGGGGAGCAGCCAGAAACGGCACCATACCTGTTGCTGAACAGGGCTATGAATAGAACCATCAATCCCCCTGCTAATTGGAAGAAGTCTTCGGATAGTCTTAGTGTGGCATCCTCATCGCGGGGAGGCTATGCCACCCACCATGACCCACCTGCCCAGAGTTTTGGCAATTGGCTTGCCCAGAGGAAAACACATCTTGCAGACAGGAATTCTAATGTGCGGAGGTCTTTTAACGGGACAGATAATCATGTTCGCTTTTTGCAACAACGAATGCCAACCCTTGAAAATACCACGAAGTCATTCTTGCGTAACTGGAGAATTGAATCCTACTTAAATGACCATTCAGAAGCCGCACCTGATTCTAATGGATCAGCTCTAGGTGACCGTTTTGAGAACTATGATAGTTCTGAGAATTTGAAAGCCAATGCCCTGTATACCCATGCACGGCTTCGCCCCTCTTTTGTGTTTAAACCAACTCTACCTGAGCAGCAGGAAGTCAACAGTTGTACAACTGGCTCCTCAAATTCAACTATCATTGGTTCCCAGGGAAGTGACACACCTAAAGAGGTCCCAGACACCCCTACTAGTGTAGAACTTTTGACAGATGAACCTTTGCCAGAGTCAATCCCCAAGCAACCGTCGCAGTCAGAGACACCAAAACTGCACCACCTGCAGGCTCCTGAAAACCACCCAGCAGTCTTGAACCAAACTACACTTGGCCATCCGGAGTCAAACTATTTATATACAAACTTGTGTGTAAATAAGCAGACAGAGAACCTAAAGAATCAACAAAATGAGAACCTGCTTAAAAGGCGAAGTTTCCCCTTCTTTGACCAGGCAAAAGTCAATTTAGATCCTGGACATAATAAGCATTACGTATATAGTACGCTTACCAGGAATCGAATTAGACAACCAGAGAAACCCAAAGAGGATTTACTGAAAAGTTCTAAAAGCATGCACAATGTTACTGACAGCGTGGAAGAGGAGGAGGTGACCAAGAGAGACCCTCCCAGTGGCGCAGCTACCAAGTCCATTTCCATCGCTGCTTTGCTTGATGTAAATAAAGAGGAACCTAACAGAGAACTCACTACAAAGAAAGAAGTGAAGGGTTCCCCAAGTTTTTTGAAAAAAGGATCTCAGAAGCTAAGGTCATTGCTTAGCCTTACTCCAGAAAAGAAAGAAAATCTATCCAAAAGCAAAGCATCTCCCTTTTATAGGATGTGTAGTAGTTCTGACACTTTAGCATCTGAGGCTGAAGATAGTCAAAACCCAAGAAAGTCAGAACCAAAAGTTGATTCATCCCCAAGAAGAAAGCGTGCCTCCTCGTCAACCTCTCAGGGCAGCCTCCACAAGAGTAAGGAAGATGTGACAGTTAGCTCGTCTCAGGGGGCGCATTCTCCATCCAGTGACAGGAATGAGATGATGCCTTCTTCAAGTCCAGTTGAAAACAAGTTCTTGGAAAGAGCAGGGGATGCCTCTGCCCCAAGATTTAACACAGAACAGATCCAGTACCGAGATTCGAAGGAGATTAATCGAGTTGTTGCTCCTGTAAGAAAACCAGTTTCTCCTTCCAGGTCAAAGCCCAATGAGCTGCTGAGAACTCAGTCTACTGACCGGCGCATTTACAGTCGTTTTGAGCCATTTTGTAAGATTGAGAATTCTATTCAGCCAACAAGCAACATGCCAAATACCAGTATACACCGCCCAGAAATAAAATCCACAACTGTGGGCAACAGCTATGGTAGGTCCAGCCCAAGGCTTAATTACAACACTAATGTTTACCACACATACCAGCCAAATGAAAACAAGTTTCGAGGATTTATGCAGAAGTTTGGAAACTTCATACATAAAAATAAATGAAAAAAATAAATTGAAAATAGATATTAAAATACAAAATGAATGTGGCTATAAATATTTGTCCAAAGAACATTGTGGACAGTTTTTGTAACATGCCAATAGATTTCTGTAGGGACAGAATTTGGGGTATGATGTATATTTTTACCAACATACCATGTACAGTAAAGTTATTGTTCTGTGTGACAAAGTTAGTTGTGCTTAATTATGGTATTGATGGAATGTCTCTATAAACACATGATTGTTAAATGGTAATGGTAAAAACATGTAATTAAATTGTTTTCTTCAGACTGAAGATCTTCTTAAGTCTTAAATAGAAACTTTAGTGGAGAAATGGTGCATGGGTTTTAACCATTTATTCCAAAGTCTTTCCTTTTATAAAAGGATCCTAATACTTTCAATGACCCTTTATAACATGTCTTCGTGGGTTTTCATAACTTTGGATTATGAGAAAATAAGACATAGCCTTTTCGTTTTTAATTATCTTTAAATTTGACAGGATAACTTGTTATATTTTATTAATGTTTTATTACTTTTCCTGTGGAACATACACAGCTGGTTGGGTAGCACAGTAAATTATACAGCATATTTTTTATTTTGCCTGAGAGTGTTTGCAAAGGATCAGCCTCATGTAGTACAAGTACACCCTGGGAATGTGTTTCCTTCCTTGAAAACCATCCAGGACGGGCTTCTTTCCACGCTTTCCCGGGGTCTGTACTTCACTCACCCATCAGCTGCTGGCCTCTGACAGTCATTTCTTCCTTCAGACTTACTGCAAGACAGCAGGAATTGAAAAACCTGAATTATTCCTCCCTTTTTTCTAATATATAAAAGAAATTTAGAAATATAAATTTCTACATGAATTTTTTAATCTTAAAATTAGTATGACAATGCTTAGAGGGTTTGCTCGCAGAAGACTGCTTTTCTTTTCTTTTTTTTCATCCTCACCTGAGGACATTTTTTCATTTTTGTTCAGGTAGAGTGGGAGGGAGAGAGAAACATCGACGGGAAAGGGACACATCAGGTGGCTGCCTCCCGCACAACCCCAACCAGAGCTGGGGACGAATCACAACCAAGGTACATGCCCTTGACCAGAATCGAACCTGCGACTCATCGGTTCACAGGCTGACGCTCTAACTGCTGTGCCAAACCGGCCAGGGCGACTTTGCTCTTCTTTTATGCTATTCCAAATACTGGGTGACTGGGCAATGTTTTCTTAGGAGCGCCGTGATGATTATGAAAAATGGTACCTGGTCTATTCTGCCATGACCATGGGACCTGGTTGAAGGTTTTAAAGCTTACTGTGTCTTAATTTGATGATGATACTCACATAATAAGTGACCCTTTGCCTTTCTTAGAGTAGTGAAATAATAGCTCCATATCCATTACTGAGACTTTAACCTGGCTTTACTTCATCCACAAAGAACAGAATTCAAGAAACAGCACATCATTTGAGAAGTAGGAAGGGTTTCTACAACACTTTAAATTTAACACCTAAGTTGCTGGGTGGGGCAGTATTTTATTGTTTAAAAATTCAAGATTCAGCCCTGGCCAGTTTGGCTCGGTGGTTAGAGCGTCGGCCTGCAGTATAGAGAGACCCAGGTTTGGTTCCCACTACGGGCATGTACCTCGGTTGCAGTTTGTCCCCGGCCCTGGTTGGGTTGTGTGGGTGGCAACCACTTGATGTGTTCCTTTCATGTCGATGTTTCTCTCTCTCCCTCCCACTCTATGTGAACAAAACATTTTTAAAAAATGTAAAAATATCCTCGGGTGAGGATAAAAAAAAAAAAAAAATTCAAGATTCAGTCAATATGACTATCTGTGTTATAAAATAATTAAAATAATGGCTTTAAAATATCTATCATTTAAATAATTTTCCATAATATTTTAAAACCATCGATGTTTCTCTCTCTGTCTCCCTCCCACACAAAAAATGGAAAAATGTTCTCGGGTGAGGATAAAAAAAAACAAAACATGATAAGAAATATGTTGGAAAAAAACATGACAGTTTGGAAAAGAAAACATTTCCTGAGCACTGCACTAGACCAGGCCTTGACCTGTCCCTAAACTGCCCTCATTGTTTATAGGTGATCATTGAGGTGATCATTGAGACATTGAGATTCAAAGAGGTAATGCCCAAGCCACATAACTAATACGTAATGTTACTAAAGTGCCTGTAACACACTGACTTATCACATGACCTCCCAAACGTGTTCAACTCCTGCCTCTCCCAAACTGTTGGGAATTCAGTGACAAAAGTCTGTATTTCCTGTGTGAACAGTGATCAACCAAAAAGGGTTTAGTTGAATTCCATCAGACAGCAAGGACACATGGGGCTTAAAATAATCATAATAGGTGAGATTAAAGAATCTGGTTGAGATTGATTTGTGAATATAACCTAGCAGGCCAGTTAGAATTGCCAGGCAGTCATTTTGACCCCCTTCCTGTTGACCTGTGGCAATGAGAGGAAGGGAAAAGGCACCATTAGTGAGCTGTAACCTGCTCGTGTACTAGAGAAGGAAGCCCATTGGAGTAGGAAGCTAGGTAGGGAATCTAGTTGAACATTCACAATAACCCTGTGAAGTAAGTACCTTCTTTTTGCAAAGAAGGACTGTACGCCTCAAAAAACTTACATTAATTTTCCAAGAGTTACACAGCTCTGGATTGGTGGAGCTGGGGTTTAAACACAAAAGCCTGCATTTTGAATTCCATACTACACCATGCCTTACCAGCTTCTCATTCCCCTAGGCTTAAGGAACGTCCTTTGTAAGTAATCACCCTCTTTTGATCTCTCTTTATAAATTGCACAACTATAACAGTAACTTGACAGCAATAGCATTTTATAAACACAAATCCAGAATATAATATTCAGTTTCACATTATTCACAAAAGTTGGTTTTAAAATTCTCTTTATAACCTAGGGAATTCCCAAGTACTACAACATAGGATTTTTTTGTTTTGGTAAGCTGAGTATAATAGATCAAAAGTTTTGCACCCTTTGTAATAAATTAATAGCATAAAAATAAAACTGAGAGGGAAGAGTCATTTTCCACAGGACAGGTAGCCATGTATATCTACTAAAAAATGAATTTTAAAAAGACTTTGAAATGTGCATTTCCTTGTAATCAGAAAAGGAGGTCAGTTGCAATGAAAGGCTGTTACTAATTATTAGTGGGTTTTGTTTTTTTTTCTTTTTCTATCCTGACCCAAGGACATTTTTGCATTTATGTTCAGATAGAGCGGGAGGGAGAGAGGGAGGAAGAGAGAAAAAACATCGATGTAAGAGAGACACATCAAGTGGTTACCACCCACACGACCCCAACCAGGGCCAGGGACAAACTGCAACCGAGGTACATGCCCGTAGCAGGAACCAAACCTGGGACTGTCTGGTCCGTGGGGCCAATGCTCTAACCACTGAGCCAAACTTGCCAGGGCTAGTGGGTTAATTTTTAGAGTCATCTGGAAATTGTATGATCTTCATAGATAATATCAGGTTATTGAAAAACAGTATCAATGAATGAAGGATTTTTAATTTTGCTCTTAGAAGAATTGACTTCTGTAATTCTGGACCATAGTCCTTATGAGTTTAGTCAAGGCAGAACCCACAGTTAACCAAACAAGATTGACTTTAGTATCTCACCCATTCTTTGTTATTGATAAATGGGTCATCCTTCAGAGAGAAGGGGATAAAGGCTAATTGTCTTTAGATAGCTCTGAAATTGAAATCCTGAAACTGTAGAGCAATGTAACTTTAAAGGTGAAATTACAAAAAGACTAGAGGGTACATCATATTTAATTACAAGAAAGAGCTTCTTACCTTTTTGTACAACAACTGCTGTTTCTGAAAACAGCTTTTAAAAAGTTTCTGAGTTTCTCCTTTGCCTAGTGAAATAGAAAGTGCAGGATGCTTTATTTTAGCCACTTGTGATGGATAAGCTTAGGCTTTTGCACAGCAGATTTATTCTCTGCCTTTCTTCTTTGATTATTTTTCTTCAGAAATATCTATATATCAGAATCTGTACATAATAACTGTCCAGTTTCTTTGGCTGAGAAACAACTCAAGGTTAAGTTTGACCTTTTAAACATACTCCAAACTTCATGGATGTATTTATTGCAAGCAATACACTTTATTTTTCTCCCAAATTAATTTTGGTGGAAAGATAATGTCACGTAAGTGCACTTTCATATTAAAGTTTGGTAAGGTGATTTTTACTCTTTACACAGTACATTAGTTTGTAAGCAGAAACTCAAGAAAACAGGTGTGGTTTCAAAGTCATTTTTGATAGATAGCTTCAGAATAGTTTCAGTGCCTGTACCTGAATACAGTGATGTCCCTCTGTCCAAACGATTAGATTTAGCCTCGATTCTGACTCCGTATGTTGTGGTATTCCACAGATATTTGTCTCTTGTGAGTATCTGTTTAATCTTAAAGTGCCTATGGCTAAGGGATATAAAGTGGAATCATTATTTCATGTTAACTATGTGTGAAGCTGTTTTTTGTTTTGTTTTTTTTTAAGTTTATCATATTGTTTGGTTCTAGAATATTTAAAATAAAAAAGATGAAATTGTAAACCAAAAAGTCATTTTTAATATTCATACAATGTTAGCAAAGAAATACTTGTCCAAATTAACTTTTGTTTTTAGATCTAATAAATCAATATTAAATAATTTTGTACAACATCAATACATTGTAAGTTGTTTCTTTTCTATCTTCATACCCTGGATTTTTCTGTATATACTTACACTTTCACTTAGTTATTACATTATGGCTTTAGATTTTTATACATTTTTTTAATATTTCTCCATAAATTTGCAATCTTATCTTAAACACTTTTAGATTTATTTTGATTATCAATTATATTTTATATAAAACTTTATCCATAGTTGATACCCAGTGAGAATATTCTTCTCTTTACAATATTATATACTCTCATCCTCTTCATTTTATTTTTACTGCATTATAGTAGTTATTTTAAATAACTTGTGATGTTGAAAAATCGAGACTCTATTTTGTTTTAAAAATGAGTATCTGATTTGTACAACTTTGTAGCATTTAGTTTGAATAAAATATTCTAAGGGGACATTTGTATGAGACTGATTA